GGGGGGGGGGGGGAATTGATCCTTTATTTGCTGAATTGAAGTAACACTTGAATTCAGAGCTTTGCCAGATCGCTATGTGAAGGTGGAGCACTGTGTAGGGAAGAGTGAGACCCTGAATGCTGAGATGGAACAGATGGGAAGATTCAGATCGCGTCAAGCTCCCTCAACTCCCAAACCTACGGAAATGCGCCGCTCAGATCTCCTGCGGCAGGGAGGATGTTATTCTGGACCCAGCTGCAGCCCCTCTGGGTGCTCCGCCCTCACACTAAGGCCGTGCTCCCTTAGCACGGGGAAATACGAAGGCCGGCCCATTCTGGCAAGATGTGAGGGTCCTCCTCTCGGCAACTTCAACTTGAGCGCCCGCCACTGGCCTGGCCAAAGCTTTATTCGAGTTGTGCTGCAGCTCAAGGTCCTTCCAACCCCCCTTCCTTCCCTCTCTCCTTGCTCAGGGACCACACAGGCATCATAACCTAAAGGCTCTCCTTATCTTCTGCTCCCTCCCCCGGTAAACCCCTTGAACACCTAATCCCATTTGGCCATTTGCTTCATGGCAGACTCAGCTTAACCAGCCTTCCTTGTCAGAGAAATTCTCGGTACGCCCCTGTGATATGCGGCTTTTCCCACCTTGAGCGAAGGCCTCAATGACCTTTGTGGAAATAACCTGGCAGGAGGCTGGGGAAGCCAATTCTCTTTATTCTTTACCCTTAACCTCCCTCATTGCCTTGAATCCTACCATTGGTAATGTGCCAGCGACAGCTTGTATCGCCTCACAAAAGCCAACTGTTAAATGTTAAGAAATTCAGGTAAGTTCATTGGTAAACACAGTCATTATTAAATATACTACAGTTAAAAAAATTACATTAAAACCAAAGGTAATAAAAACTCAAAAACTCATCACTTCCTAGTTATTAACAACTTTCCGTTATTACCTATACTCTTGAGGTTGTTTGCGTCTCTCCTATCTGGGCGTTGGAAATAACATGTAATGGTTGCTACTTGCACTTCCCTTTGGATTCTGGAGGCCAGATATAGATGCGCTGTTTCAGCTCTTTTCTTCGGTAATCTGAGAGGCTGCCAGCTTGAGGGCAGCCTGAAGCAAGAGGAGGCTTTTGGCTGGTCCAGAAAGCTCTGCCCCTGATCCAGAGAATCCGGCGGGCTTGCAGCACCTGTGGCACACAGCAGCTTTGGCAGGTGCAGAAAGCGAAGCAGAGCACAGGGCCCCCAGGGGTTTGCAGCCGAGCCAGGAACTCTGTGGCATCGACCTGTTCTCCCTCGGAGACACCAGTCTTGACTTGCCCCTTGGCGCTAGTAAACACAGCAGTTTGGTTGTGAGACATCAGGTAACCAAGCAACTGGTGCTCCTCATAACCTGGGGCCGCCTGAGCCACCAAGCCACAAAGCCAGCCAGCATTTCGTGAGCGCGCCCAATGCGCCAGGCTCCGTGCTAAGCCCCCTACTTGTAACATTCCCTCTACTCCTCCCCACCGTCCTGGGAGATGGTACTGTTGTTGCTGTTATCCCTACTTCAGAAAACTGGAGCGGAGAGGGGATAAGCAATCTGCCGGGTAACCACATAGCTCATACGTGGCAGAGCTTGATTTGAACCCAGGCCCTTTGGCTCCAAAGTCTACACGTTTAATTACCAAATTATATTGCTTCTCATGATCAAGGGGAAGTTTTCTGTATGGGACTGGGCTTGACCAGAAACTGGAGACACAACAAATGGCACGGTGTGCTCGCTCCCACCACACCACCGTTCAGCCTGCACATCTGACCTGCGGACGTCCTCGAAGTCCAGGTGGCTGAACAGACAGCCGGCAGAATATGATGGCACCAGCACAAGTGACCTGCCACCACACTGGAGCCCAACGCAGGGTGGCCCTGAGAACAACCGAGAAGGGGAATTTTCCAGTAGACAAATTTTTAAGTATTTCAACCTGGTGACCACTGTGTCTGAATAGAAAAATGGTCTGAGGTACATGTGTCAGGAGCCGGTGGTTTAGCTCAACAACCAGAGACTTGGAAGGATCAAGAAGGTAGGGCTGGTGACAAGCATATTAGGGGGAAGAGGAATACAGGGGATCTCTCAGAAAGGACCCAGGGTATAAGGATATTTGGTTCTTCCCTCCCGTTTTTTTTTATAATCCTCATGGGAGGATATTTTTTCCATTGCTTTTCAGAGAGAGTGGAAGGGAGAGAGAGAGAGAAACATTGATGTGAAAGAGACACATCAATTGGTTGCCTCCCACATGGGGGTGGAGCCTGCCACTGAGGTACGTGCCCTTGGCCGGAATCGAACCCTGGACCCTTCAGTCCACAGGCCGAAGCTCTAACCACTGAGCCAAACCGGCGAGGGCAGGATGTTTGGTTCTTTGTGAATAACCACCGAAAGCCTCCACTGTGGAGGAAGCAGTCAATAACCAGGCGGAAAGGTTGGCCCGACTCCGCGTGTCAGCCTTGCTTCTTTCTCTAGGCGCTCCAGCGTTGCCCAGTGATCTCACGAACAAAGTGGGCATGGAGGCAGAAATGCAGGCTGTATGTGGCTTCAGCAACTTGGATTTCCCCTCACCAAGGCTGATCTGGCTACTGTTTCTGTTGAATATTTAGTTGCCCAGCAATTAAAACCAAACCTGAGTCCCTGCTATGAATTAGGCTTGAATGTAACAAAGCCAGGAACAACGTAGCCAGGGAAAGAAATGGATTCTTTCCAGACCACCACTGCCAAAGCCCATCTTCTGCTCAGCACTTAAATGTCAGAATCTTGGGACTGAGGCCAAAACCCTGCCCCAGCTTGCTAATAGAACTGGATGCCTCCTCCGGGCCTGCAGGAGCAGCAGCTCTCCCTGTGTGGCCCCTGTGGGTACCAGACATAGGATCACGTGTGATGAGTTGAAATGTCAAAGGAGTCTGGGGAAAAATGTGGCCTTACTATAATAGCAACTTATTCTGGACTTGGGTTTGCTCTCCTGTTGAACAAACTTCTGCTCACACCAACATTCACAGGCCTCTGAATGCCTGTCCACCACCAGGGTACGGCGCCCAGCATTGGTTCTTGCTGAGAAACTAATTTTACAGCAATGGGCTCAGGCTATGGGGCTCACTGCTTCTGTGGGCACTCCATCTCCCTATGCCTGGCCTCGTAGAGAGTATAGTAAAGACCCATTCACAGAATTAGCTGCAATGTAGTCAGTCCGGCATACAGATTATTGAGATGGGCTCATGCCAGACCAGTGAGATAAAAGGTCATCACCCAGAGATTTTGTATTTGAAGACAGATGCAGTAACTGATAAAACTTGGGACCCATGCCCTAGCCTGTTTGGCTCAAGTGGTTGGAGAGTTGGCCTGCAGACTGAAGGGTCCCAGGTTCGATTCCAGCCAAGGGCACGTACCTCGGGTGCAGGCTCAATCCCCAGCCTTGGTCGGGGTGAGTGTGGGAGGCAACTAATAGATGCGTCTCTCTCATATCGATGTTTCTCTCTCTCTCTCTCCCCCTTCCACTTTCTCTGAAAAGCAATGGAGAAAACATCCTCAGGTGAAGATTAAAAAAAAACTTGGGGACCCAGTATCATTTTAATAAATTCCTTTTTGATTAAATTATCTAGAGTAGGTTTCATAGAGAAAGTTCTAGAAGGATATATTCCAATGAGTGAAGAATGGTTATTGTTGACTACATAGGAATTATTTGTATTTTCTACATTCTTTTTGTTAGTCTGTATTTTCTAATTTTCTTAACATGAGCATTAACATTATATTTCATTTTTATTGTTGACATTATTACAGATGCCCCCCACATCCCCCCCTTT